GGGGGAGGGCCGGTCCTCACCGTCCTGTCCCTGCAGTGGCTCCGCGGGCCGCGTGGTGCTGTCCCGGGAAGACAAGGAGGCCGCCAAGTTGGGGCTGTCAGTGTTCACGGTAATCTCCTCTGGTCATATGTGCTAGGTCCGGATGGGGTCTGGGAGACCCGGGAGATCTCCCGAGCCCGCCCCACGCCCCCAGCCCCAGCCCTGTTTCCTTTCTCAGCACCATCGGGTGGACAGTGGTGGCTCGGGGGCCGCCGCTGCCGCGGCCAGGAAGAAGCCACGCGCCGAGGACAAGGATGAGCCTGGGTAAGGTCGCTCTCCGATGCAGGCTGCAGTCTTGCAGTTGGGGTTGGGCGCTTAACTTGGGCTCCTGGTCCTGCCTTCTTCCTGTTTCTTGGAGAATTTCTTAAGGACTTCCCTGAGGGCTGGACCTGTGAGGCTACCGACAGTGCTTGGAAGTGGCTCACTGTAGTGACTAGGGGTGGGCAAGCAGCCAAGGGCCGGGCGAGCTTCTTTGGCGAGGCCAGGTAAGCCACAGCCCTGGGACCTTCTCTGTGGTTGGCCTTAGGCCGCCCACCCACTGAGGCCTGCAGTATCTGGCTAGGGACAGGGGCATGGTGTGGTGGTGAATACCGGCAGGACTGCCGCACCAGGTCTGGATCTTGGTGGAAGGTGGACTAGTAAGGGGCTGCAAGACCCCCAGGTTGTAACAGCCAAGTGGAGCTTTCTGCCTTGACAGGTGTTCCATATCTGCAGTCCATTATGGCATCTCCTGCCACACGGGAGTGTCTAGTACTTGGAAATGCGCTGGATTGTTAAGTCATTTACTGAGTAAGCCAGCTCCACAGTTCCACATATGCACTGGCTACCATCTTGCACAGCATGGCTGCCTTGGCTGCTATCGGCTATCTCCCATCCGCAGGGTCAGGGCTGAGGCCCTTTCTGTCCCTCCCCTTTGCAGTACTGAAAGCCACAAGAAAAGCAAGAAGGAAAAAAAGAAAAAGAAGAAGAAAAAACACAAGAAAGAGAAGAAGAAGAAAGACAAAGAGCACTGGAAGGAGGTTGATGCCTCGTCTCCCTCTCCTGATCGGTAGGCCCAGGCCAACCATAGGGGATTTTGAAAGTGGTGCTCCTTGGACTAGAGGGGTGGCCGGGCAGTCCCAAGTGAGGCTCTGGGGTTCCCAGGATTGTTAGGTATGAGGAAGGGCCTGAGGCTTCTGAAACAAAGCCGGGAAGGCTCCCTGCCCAAAGTCCTTCCTCTAATTGGCCATCCTTACCCAGGCCTGGGCGCTGCCGGCATGATTCTGATTCCTCCTCCCCCTGCTGCAAGAGGCGGAAGCAGGGACATAGTGGGGACAGTGGAAGAAGCCCATCCCACAGACAGCAGAACAGAGGCTGTGATGCCTGAGACTGTGGCTGAGCTGCTGGATACCACAGCCTCTGCTACCCCAAGCTGGGACCTGGGACACTGCTGGGCTCTGGGACGACTGGACCCTGTGGATTCTGAGTGACTGCAGCTACCCCACCTTAACTGCCTCCTGGGTGTACCATAGGGGAGCTCCTGTCTGGGTGAGCAGGTGCTGCTAAGGCTTGGGAGCCAGCTGGCAGGCTCAGACCAGAGGTAAAGTTGCTTTATGGAGACTGCTTGAGTCTTGCGCTGCCACCAAGTGAAGGTTAGTCTACGCAGGAAGCTGTCTTGTCCATGGCTGCAGTGGTCCAGGCCTCCTCTGAGGCTTAGCTATGACCAGGTGGTTACTTTTTCTTCATATCAACTCACTTTATACTTAAATAAATTTTAAAAGGAGAATGTATCATACTGAGTGGGAGGTCAGTGTGGAGTTACAAAGCACCTTATTGGGAGGGTAATAATAGTGGTCCAGGGCATGCATGTCTTCCAACTTCCCTTCTAGGGACCTCCATGTTTGCCATGTAGTCTTGGCTGGGCCATGGTGATTTTAAACATCCTAGATCCCAAGTCCTTCTTGTGTATGGCCAGGCAGGGTCTGGTGGTCCAGTGCCCAGTGGGGTGGGGGACAAGAGCTCTTGTCAGCCTTGAACGCCTTACAGGCAGACAGGTGAGGTCCAGCAGCAACAGTCTTGGCTGAGGTAGGGGTATACTTGAAGCCTCTGGGGCACCTTCCCCTGCCTGTGAGAACCAGCCTAGCTCCTTCCTGGGTGACATGTGAAAGCCACAAGTGGGTTGCTATGTTCTTTTGCTCTTGATTCTAGAAGAAACAGTGTTGGAAGTGGCCCAGGGAAGACTGTGAAGGTATCTGTAGAGATCTAGGCTTGAGCCCAGGGTGTTAGCTAAGTGTTTCTGCTGCCTGCCCACAAGTGCAAGGTCCTGAGTTCAATCCTTGATACACACAAAACGGATCTAGGCTTGTCTTGGCTTCACTGATCTTAGCATGCCTGAGCACAGAATGCTGTTCTCTCAGGCGTGCAATGCAGGTCAATCCACCCTGCGAGGACAACCCCTGGACACTACATAGGAGGGCAGACTTTGAACTTGGAGGTCATAACCACCAAGGGACAGGAGTGGGTCCTTCATTCTGCAGGCACAAAGTACCCTATGGCTGGCAATGTGTCTGCACAGAGAGAAGACAAGCACAGGCCTCCACGGCACTGACTTCCCCTCTCACGTGCATAATGAAGCTTGACCTAGAAAGCAGGGGTGTCCAGGGCTGAGGCCACCTGCAGTTTCTCCCACCTTGTCCACTTCCCAGGAGGCAACCTGGTGACACAAACACTGGAGAGCCTGTGAAATAGTTAAGAGACTTTATTCTAATAGCTATAATTACAGTGCTTGTCAAAATGAAAACTGAAAACAAGTATACAAAACGGTTGATTACTAATCGTGTATTGAAAGCAGTAAGAGGTTCCACAACACCAAATAAACCAGTTCTGAAGTTTCCCCAAGATAAATTTAACAGCTCCAGCTTCTTCAGTGTTTATCAAAATACAAAAGAAAAAAAAAAAAGTAGAGGTCGTCTTTTCTGATGGCAAATCGGACCCTTCCAGGCTGAGGGAGGAAGCTGCTTCACAACATGGAGGTGGGGGTGCTCTGGGATTGTGGTCTGGCTTGGACCAACCGACCCAGCTTGCACGTGCTCCTGCTGGTGAGACCCAGACTTTGGCCAACGTGTGAGTGGGCACTGAGAACAGGGGCTGCCACTCCAGCTGCACTGGGCAGGGGTGAGAGTGAGGCTGGTCCCCATGCCCCGTCACAGCCCTCCCAGCCCACCCTGAGGGGACTGTGTGAGCATGAACACAAGCACAAGGCTATGGAATGCAGGTGGCCCAAAGATGGCTGGGTCTCTACTTTGACCATGCAGCAGATGGCGTTTGTTCATCACATCTCTTGCATTCCCAGTGGAACAGCCAATCTGATGACTAGTGTTCAGGTTGAATTGTAAAACCTACACTAGGCATAATCTCCTGTGTGTTCAAGTGTTCTCCTTATCTTGTAATTTTCAGCTATTTTTAAAAATGCACTGAGTTTGGGTTAAAAACCAAATGGATCTTGATGCCAATCTACAGCCCAGTGGCTCATGGAGGCTAAGAGCCCATGCACCCAAATCCCTTCTCAGTACTGACAGTGAGTTGATTCCTTTTTTTTTTTTTTTTTAAACAATAAAAAAGCTGAGTAATATTGCATAGGAGTACCAGAAACTGCCTCAGTGGAAACAGAAACTATTTACATTAAATAAAAACCTGGCTGCAGGCTTCGTCTGCACATGTACAGCACGGTGCGTGCACACTGTGACCAACCCATGGAGACAGCTTCTGGCACTCAGGACCACAGAGTCGCATGTTTGCCACATGAGAGGAAAGCGGAGGGTGGAGAGGAAGAAGTGAGGGGAAGGGGGATTCTGGTTCACTTCTGGTTCCGGAGCTGATTGGACAGCCAGTCCAGTCCTTCATAGAGCCCATCTCCACTGGTGGCACAGGTGGCTTGAATGTACCAGTTCCTGTGGCGTAGAGAGTGCAGCCCCAGCTTGTCTGTGATTTCAGCTGCATTCATTGCGTTGGGGAGGTCCTGGGGAGGAGGATGGGTCAGTGGCAAGGCCCACCACTGGTCTGTCCCTAGGCCCCTTCTCCCACCCCAACATGGACTGCTCTGGGGAAGGAGCTTGCTGGTGCCTACCTGCTTGTTGGCAAACACAAGGAGGACGGCATCCCGGAGCTCATCCTCAGCCAGCATCCTCATGAGCTCCTCACGGGCCTCATTAACACGCTCTCTGTCATTGCTATCCACCACAAAGATCAAGCCTGCAACACAGCCATGACTATGGCAAATGCTGAAAAAGGCCTACCCAACCACACCCACAAGCAATGGGCCACACTCCAAAAGTCCCAAGTGGACCTCTGAGCCCTGGGCTCTAGTCTTCCTGATCATAATATTGCAGTGTGGCATTGGGCCTAGGAAAGACTGGGTCCCTAAGGACAGAGATGGGAGGGACCTGGGTTGAGGGCTAGCTGCTCACCTTGGGTGTTCTGGAAGTAGTGGCGCCACAGTGGCCGGATCTTGTCCTGGCCACCCACATCCCACACGGTAAAGCTGATGTTCTTGTATTCGACGGTCTCAACATTGAAACCTGGGGACAGTATTGTAGCTGAGGGCCCTCTGCACCCAGGAGACACCAGTGGCCCGGCCCCAGCCCCAGCCCCAGCCTCACTTCTCACCTATAGTAGGAATGGTGGTCACAATTTCACCAAGCTTCAGTTTATACAGAATCGTCGTCTTCCCAGCAGCATCCAGGCCCACCATGAGAATTCGCATTTCTTTTTTGCCAAACAGGCCCTTGAAGAGGTTTGCGAAGATATTCCCCATCCTTGTGGATTCTTGGAAGTGACACTGGCCAGAGACCTGGGGAGGCAATCTATCCTAGGCCTGTTTCCATGCTGCCATGGCAGGTTAAGAATAACCCACCCAAGGATGCCATCTCCTCTCGTCTCTCCTGGAATCTCACAGGGAGGATATGTCACAATCCTATTTCTGGGATGACAGACAACCTGCCCACCTGGACATTTAGGCCACCACAGCCAATGCATGCAGCTGGTCCTTCCTGTCCAAGTCCATTCACCCTGAAGCCAGCAAGCTACAAGTATGTGCACAGCCACACTCAGAGAACAGGAGAGCTACTATCTCGAAGTCCTGCTTTCAGAGGCCCGCAACATTTCTAGTCTAACCGAGCTTTCAGTACAGAAGGAACCATCCACCCATAAGTCTCCCCACTATACCAGCACATGATGGCAAACAGTGACTACAGAGGGATTAGGACCACCCCACCTCCCCCTACCACTGCCAGAGCTAGTCACACTGGTCCAAGACCATGGCCCACTTTCCCAACACACCAAGTAGCTTGGTGGCAGCATACCCCAGGATAAGCCCAGGAAGCACTGTGGTATCTATCACCTGGTGAGCAAGTCAGGTAGGTGCCTGTGCCAGTTCAGGTTGTGGCTAACAGCCAAGAAGCAATAGCTAGGTGGCTTGTCCATCTTAACTGACCTAGACAGCTAGAAGACTACAAGGTGCCCACAATAAATTCCAGCACCCACTCTGAGGGCGTGCACGTAGGACAGGCTTTTGCAAGAACACATTCTGCGTCTGACACACACTGACAACGGGGTCCACTTGCAGAACAGAAAGCTGGTGGCACTAATGAGGCAAGCAGGAGCACTGCCTGAGACTTGGAGGGCCTCTGGGGAGGACACCAGCTTTCCAGGCACTGGCCTCACCACTGTGGGCACTCTGGCCATCAGCTGTTTCTAGTCCAGAGACTTAACATTTTTTCAAATGCTAGCCGCTAGAAAATTAGGTATCAGTAGCATCTAGAAGTAAAAGTAAGCAAATGGGCATTGTGCAGTCTTCAAAAACAGAGATACATCTGTGCATAACTTACAGGAAGTTGAACAAGCACAGTGCAAGTTACGTTGACAAAGCTTTCTGTCTTGTCCCTTTATACTGTGATCACAGGTTGGGTGGCTTATCGACAGATGTTTACTGCCACAGTCCCGCAGGCTGCAAGTCCAAGATCAAGGCGTAACAGTGTCCTCTGGAGGAGACAAATATGGTGTTCTCCTGTGGTGGAGGAGTAGCAGAGCAATTCCACTGCCAAAGCTCCTTTCATGGTGGCCCTAACCCATTTGTGAGGAGCCTTGTGACCTAAACAACTGCCCAACACTGCACTGAGGTCCAATTTCCCACTGACTCATCCAAATGTTGGAGACACACACAGACACAACACTGTTTGTGAATAGGCATATGGGAAATCAGTGTGCTTCACAAAACTGCAGTAATCCCTGGATGGTGATCCTTGTGCAGCTCTGTACTGCCTGTGCTCCTGTAACCATGCACACACACCAAGGTGCCTTCTTGCAGGAGACCTTGCTCCTGTCACACTCTGAGTTTTAGTAATCTGGCGCCTTGAGATGGTATTATGTCCAGGACCATGGTTGGCGGTGGAAACCATGCCGCATCCAGTGCCTTTAGGACATTGTTTTGCACAGTATCACATAGTTAAACAGTTATATCTGAAATTAAGCAGACTTTGCTATCATAGTCCCTCTTCTGGGGCTAGCCAGGTTCCTGGGTGCCAAGGATGAAGTGTCTGGGAAATCCCAAGCAGACTATCACGATCTCTTAGTACCCCTCCTGAAATCACTGCCTATGAGGGGACAAAACTGTTAGGACAGAGAAAAGGGAGCAAGATGCTTGGGACTACACAAACGACTGGTGAAGAATAAAGTAATTTTAGAATCACAAGGCCTCCCCCTTCACCTCTGGAGCAAGCCTTCCCTCAAAGGCTTTTACTGGCATCTGGGGACAGAATCAGAGGAAGGGAGCCAAAGGTGACCAATGGCTGAGCAGGCAGAAAGCTGGAACTCCCAGAACATGGGCTGTGGATGACATCCAGTTGCACCAAAGATGTGGGTGAGTACACAAATTCCCAGGACACTTAGCAGAGGCACACAGCAGCAATCTGAGGCCTCTGTGCAAGGGATCAGCGATTCAGCATCCAGAAGTCCCAACACAAGACCTGTATCCTCTCCATGCTAGATGGGGTAAAGACTATTTAAAAAGGGAAAACAAGGCTGGGGATGTAGCTCAGATGGTAGAATATTTGTCTATTTATATATAAGGTCCTGGGTTCAACCCCTCCACCTACCAACAGAAAAGGAAATATTAAAAAACAAAAAACCTACATGCAACACTAGCACAAATTGGTTAAAAGAGTCTATGTTCACAAAATGAGAACAGATACTGGAACAAAGGAAATGAACAAAGAGGCTGCAGTTCTACCAAGAGGCAAAATGAAAAGTTCAAAATGAAGGCGCTCAGAAAGCAGACTGAAAAGAATGGATTAAAAACAACAACAAAACAAGGAGCAACTTGAAGGTCAACATCAGACTAATAGAAACCCCCAAGGAAGTACCTGAAAAATTACACAAGATCCTAACATGTTCCAGATGGTACACATGGCTAAGGGTTAAGGAAGGCCTGCTGCCAAGGCAGCACCAGGGAATGAAAGCTCTCAGGCAATGCTCCTGAAATTCTGAGGAAGTGACTCTCGATCTTTAACCGTACATGCTAGGTAGATGGGAAGAATACCATACTATATTAGCCTCTTGTATGTGGGACTCAGTGAGAGGAAGGAGCCCAGGCAACACAAATAAGAAAGAGCTGCTAGATATCTCATTCAATCTGGCGTAGGAGGGCAGACCCCACAGAGCAAGAAAGGCACCACTTGACTGTTTCTATCATGGAATCTGGTGATGCTGAGGAATTGGGTAAGACTGGTAGGTACACACAAAAACCCAAGAACAAATCAAACACATACATGCGTGGCACAGAGGGAAAGAGATCCTCTCATATTTGACTCCAAAATCCAGAAGGAGGCAGAAACATGCAGCAAAGGCCATCCTCAAGGTCAAAATGAAAACTTCCAAAGCTGATGTCAGAGGAGAAATTAGGGGCATATGCTTGGTGTTGACCAGCACAGGGCCTGGGAGGCAGGGGCCACAGAACCACTCCTTACACAGACACAAACGTGCAGCACCAAGGGGAAAGAGTATCATGCTCTCCCAGCCCCCACAATGGTGGTAGAACATTTCCAAGTAACCATGTCCAGCAACACAGATAACTTTGATTTTTGCCTGCATGTGGTGACACAAAGCACTGCCCACGACCCATACACATCCACTGCCACCTTCTTGTACCTGGCCTGGTACAGCAAGACTGCCCAGAGCCTAATGCTGTCCCCGGCTGGCCTTGCAGCACCCCCAGAGAGGCTTGAGGACCATGGGGTCCTAGTCTACCCTTCTTTGGAGTTTTAACAGGTCCTAGTGGTAGAGCACCTAAAAGAGGAAGTGATCATATAAGTTAGCAGGGTAAGCCAGAAGTCTCAAGTGTAAAACACATCCCACAAGCACATAGGACTACACTGCCATCTACACAGGCAGATGATGGTCAGCACTTCCTGCCCTGGCATGTCCCCAGTGACCCCACAGAGTGCCAGCCGAGTCTATTGTTTCAGTAAATAGGCCCAATTTTGGTACATGTGTTACCAAACCGAGCACCTGTTAACAGGCCCAAGCCCGAGACCACAGTGGGAGAAGGGTCCTAGAGCCACTACAGTTACTGCCAAGGTCTCACAGTAGGGTCTCAACTATTTAATGCCCTGCCCAGCCAAGCCAGGTGCTGCCACCTTTCATCCATCAAAATCTACCTTAGTCCCCCACCCCACATGCCAAACTAGCTTTTTAGGTGCCTCTAAACCCTGTGGTTAGTAAGCTGTGAAAAGACTTCCCAGAGTCCCAGGAAGGAAGATACTTAGTGGGGCAAGAGCAGCCCACGCTGTTTCTCTTTCTTGCCACACTATACAGGCTCTGCCTTCAACAGGAAGACCCTCAGAAAGAGTGTTGTTCTTGAGCCAGGGATGTAGATCAGTGGCACCACATCTGCCTCAAAAGTGCAAGGTCCTGAGAGGGAGGGAGGGAGGGAGGGAGGGAGGAAGGAAGGAAGGAAGGAAAAAAAAATGTAAAGAAGGAAAGAAAGAAGGAAGGAAGGAAGTTGGAATGTTAGTTCTTGATGAGGCCCAGAGGACAATATTCTGAGTGGCCTCTACTCTGGGGCCACCCTCCCTTCACATCTCTCCATCAGTGCAGGGCCTTCACCAGGGAAGCAGGAGGACAGAGTGGCCTCCCAAGTAAAAATAAGGAGAAGACACAAACCCATTCCACATCAATTGAGAGAATGCAACTTGACTGGTTTAGCTGCTGAAGAGACCACCTAACAGCCAGTCAGCCAGTACCTTCCCTTATCTCCCTGCAAATCTCAGGGATGCCTCAGAACAAGGCAGGCAGCCTTTCACCTAACCGGCACCAGAAAGTATGCAGAGGAACGCTCATACAGGAAGTTTGCCACTTTCCTCAAACTGGTAGTGCCAGTTTGACAGAATCTGACTAGGACAATAGGGACCTCCACTAGAGCACAAAATAAATGGGTTCTGTGTATCTAGGTTCTGTCCCCAGCTGCTGACCCAACAGGGCATTCTGCTGGTGAACAGCTATTCAGGTAGCTGATCTACCTGAATGGAAGATGGGTCATGTAAGTTTTGCTTTCATTAAAGTCAAATTCATTGTAGTATCAATTACATATAGTAAAATGCATCAATCAACAGTTCGTAATCTCAACTTTCCTAATTTGAGGAAAATCAACAAATTTTTCTGCAGGAATTTTAGGTACATTCTGAAACATTTTCTTTAAGGTTGTTTGCAAAGAGCAACAGTGATACATGTGTGCAGATTATCAGTTATGTGAAAGTCTGATTTATCTGCAACACAGGATGATTCTGAGTCAAAGAAGGCTCCTCCACTTTCATGTGCAATAAAGCCATATGTTTTTCTCTGCACAGAATGCTTTTTGTGCACCAAGACAGGTCTAAGCACATCTGTTCCTAAAGCCACTGTGTGCCCTCAGCCAAACATTCCAGTCAGTCAGTATGTTTCTGTCACTCTTTTCTTTCTCAGACAGGATCCTGCAAGGGCTGGCCTTGAGTTTGGGGTGCTCCTCCTGCCTCGGTCTCCCGGAATGCTGGGATTATAACCATGTACCACCAGCCCAGTATGCTATTTTTTCTAATCCAGGCTGCGCTGCATTTGCCACTATTTCATAAAATTTGTGTAAGAAGAATAAGGAAGTGCTGATTCTAGGGAAAAGAAGATACACCCTGCAGGATCCTCATTCAATGAGCACACTCAGGGAAGGCCAAACATGCATGTAATCAGGTCAAATGAAGCTTCAGTCATGGAGAAAAGAAGCCCAACAAAAGAATATGCAGAAGCACTCTAGAACTACACTTTCAGGGCATTTGCAGGAACTTATCTAGTGCCTCTGAAGGACGGTCTATGCAGTGATCCTCGGCCACCAAAGGTGCAGGCCTGGCCTCATACCAAACAGTCTCTAACACCTGCTACTCTGTACACCACCTTCCCACAGCTACTGGTCTTCTGAGTTAAGGGAGGCCATTACCCACTAGGTCTGATGCTCAGGTAGGATGATCAGTGAAATTCCAGTCTTCACAAGCTTAATACTATTAATAGAACCCTGGTTTGTCATTGGGCACGACACCTTTTGTAATAAAAGTCCACATTTCCTAGCCTTCCCTGCAGTGCTGCACACCCATGGGCACCTGCATAAGGACATAGAAGGAGCCCAGGCCCCATGCCTATGTAGCAATGTAGCTTACACCCTAGGCATATTTCTACTTTGGCAGAAGGGCTCAGAAAGCCTCTACCTGACTAGAAATGCAATTAAGTCTGGAAGATCCATCACCACAAAAACAAGACAGTAACACAAATCTGCACCAAGAAACAAACTGAAAATGGAGGAAACCACAGCAACGTGTGACAACATAAAAATGTAAGAAATCACTCTGGAGTCCTGGGACAGGACTACATTCACCCAGGAGCCCATTAGTCATTGGCTGACAGTCCTCATCCTTCACCCCTCACACACCCTGAGGCCAGGAGACATCCCTGTAGTGTCAGTCTGGTGCTCACAGGGAATAGACTGTCCTGCTGCCCTCAATCGGAACCTGACTCCTGGGGAGACTCTGGGTCCTGACTGGCTGTGCTCTGGAGCCTGGCCCTTCACCTGTCCTTCTTGGCCACACATGTGAAGTGTGCACTTGAGCACTGGGACAGCACCAGCTACAGACATGCATAACCTGTCTCCACAGATCAGACCTGAGAGAGGACAACACAAGCCTGTGCTGGTAACCATGCCCTGACCCACATTGAGATCAACAGAACCTGCGTGGCTAGCAATGTTTGTGTCCCCAAACCTCACCGAGAGGCCTCTGGTTGCAGCAAGGAGCAG